GTCGTCGCGGGCACACACGAGTTCATTTCGGCTAGGCGCCGCTACACGTGACATCTCCTGTTGCGGTGGGCGCAGTTGACGTCGTCCTCGACCACCACCACTGCCTCCAACAATGTCGTCCTCGTTCGCCAAGGCTCTCTCGCCAGCCATCCGTGAGGTTCGCATCTTGTGCTGCCAGACAGGTGCGGCATCCGCCGGTACCAGGTACGCCGGGCAGTTCCGCGCTTTCACTCTGACATGCTCACATCCAATTCTTTTTCGCTTTCTACGCGACTTTGCAGGCAATTCATCACCTCGACATATCCTGTCTTGAAGCAGCACAACCCGGATTTGCCTGTTCTCATCCGAGAGGCGAAGGGTACTCCTGCACGGGTATTTGCGCGGTTTGGTGCGTCACTGTGTCCAACCTGTGTCGCGTCTTATTACTTATTGACGTGACCAATATCGTAGAGCGTGGCGTAGAGAAGCACGTAGATGTTGAGAATCTGTCTGAATCCGACGTTGCGTCCCGGATCGCACAGTTGCTGAGTGTATGATGGTCCGACGCGTATTCATCTCTTGAAGCTGCATTAACTTTGGTTTACTGGTATCAACCGTGAGAGACGTGAAGACAACAGAACAAGCAGTACCGCGGTGTGTATTGTTTTTATTCTACGCTTGCCCGTGTCCACAGAAGTCTGCGCTCCTTTATCAAACCCTCAGCGTCCATCGACAGCACCGACTAGAACCGACGTTCCCGTTAATATCTCCGCATCACGTCGTGGAAGACGATATCATTCACAAGCCGTTACTCAGCCTTTAGATGTACCCGCATAGAACGGTCTTGGCATCAAGCTTGGGGCAAAGACGATAATAACTCTCATGTTGCTCTGGACCCCGACGAAGTCGTCTTCAGCAACACTCTTTGGTTCTGGCAGCTCACAAATTACCCACGGCCCCATAGCTTTACCAAGATCAAGCAAACTTCTTTCGTTGACACCGGGCGGAATCACTGTAAGGCATCATTATGAAACCACAGCGCTATATGCTCAGCCGTCCTCAGCACCGTGTACCTATTCCAACCTGCCGATAGGTCCTAGGCGTAACTTCAGACCGTGCCATCTCCAGAAACCCACGCCTGCCATGCCACTAGCGGCCTCGCCAACCTACGCCCATATGTCGCTGATAAAATCATCCGCTCCTTTGGCACACCAGCACACGAGATACCGAGCGAGATTGTCCCTGTCGACAAGCGGTAGAGTAAGGACATGCGACCACATCTGCCGTCACTGGGCTACTAGCTAGAGCTACACAACGGCGGCGACGATCTACGTATACGGAAGACGATGATAGACCCAGCTCGCCCGGCACTACACCGCAACTTTGGGGTCCCCTAGTTTTGTGGTATCTCATTTGGACAAGTAAGTCGTCCCGTGGATTCAGCACTTACCTCTTGAAGTATCAGATCATGCGTCGTGCCCCAAGAGATGGGGCGCAGCCTCACGATCACGCGCGAACTTACATCTCTCTATTACGCCCCTCTCTTCTGAATCGGAGAAATCGGCCTACGTCCAATCGCAGCTGTCTACTGATATCTAATCTCGACGCGTTGAGAGGTGCAGTGCAGTGTTTATTACACGCTGTTTGGTGCACACTGATCGCATCGTACCATGGGCTGAAGGTTCGCGTTGTAGGTAAGTACATCAGGGGCTTTCCCTTTCTCTGGGCAACGGACTGAAGGGCCTGTTCCGTAGTCTCGGGCGCGCCCAACTTATCAGCCAGGTAGCTGTGCCTGAACGAAATTATCTGTGGACCAAATTTCAACGCTTTTTCGGCTTGCCGTCGCCTTTGACTTCGTGTAACTTTCTCAGACAGCTGTGAACCAACGCGGACTATGGATACACAACATTGTCCCAGGATGCCTTGCCCAGCTCCTTCACGTAGTCGAGAATCCATTCGTACGTAGCCGAATGCAAAATAATTGACTTCACAAAGGCTCATATAGACGGGCGACTCCAAACAACTTGAAGGAAACCAAATTTGACCGTTCAGGAAGGGCTCGCATTTCGAAAGGCTTTGCGCATCGTCAGGGACGTTCTGCACGCCTCCAGAGGTGTTGTCGTCGACGACCGATACGGTAAGCAAATTGGATAGCGGTCTGTACGCGAGCGAGGCAAACTGCGATCTACAGCAGCCGGGCGGAACATACATGCTGCGGACAAAGAAGCTGGGTGCCAACGTAAGACGCGAGTCGCAAGGCGTCCATGTCCGCTCGTCTTCAGTGCTTAGTGACGCGCCACGGACGCGTCATAGCTGGGTGTCGGTCACCATGTGCTCGCTCAACGGTAGACATATCATCACCCCCACGACCAAGCTCTCCGTTACTGGTCTTGCATGCTGCACCTGCCTCGATCCACTGCTTGCAGTTCATGCACCCTCCACCACCTCGGGCAATACAGCTCTTATGTATGATTTTATCGTTCTGGGTGCAGGTGACGCGGCAAGACGCGTTACGTCACGTCGCGTTGTTCAAGGAGAGCGTGCTGGTTGCGTCCTACCCGCCGGGTGCTCAATATATCTACTTGTTCTCGTCGCACGACATGACCAGCCATGATCATAGTGGCAGCTATCTGGGGCCGGGTACTTTGAGTTGAACAATCGGTGTCGTTGCACATGTTAGAGAACCACTCAAGCCTTACATGATAGTGCGACTGCAAGAACATTACCCAAGTGACGACCAAGGCATTGATGTCGGAACGAAACACAAGATTATCAAGGGATAGTATAACAATAACGACGTATAGACGCGTCAAACGTATGTCGTCGTCTTCTGTAGATGCACGAGTGCGTTAGTGAACCGTCTACTTGGTATTGGATACGTCACTCGCACCAAATCTGAGCGGGTCATCTTGCTAATCCTGCCGCCACCAGTTCGGAGGCTCGTCTGCGCCAACCATGTGCCTGAGCTTCTCCATCTTGTCAGCATCCGTCACTCTCCGGGGTAGTCCGTCGCCGGGGTCAGTGGAGGCGATGCAGATGGCGACGACACCTTTGCCTTTGATACAGATTGGCCGGACCTACCGTAACAAACCGACTTATGCTGCAAGGGTGGATAGCAGTCCCACCATAACATCTGCTCTCGCCCCAATGGAATCGTCCTCGGGTTCTATCCCAATCTCTTTGGCACGGTCGAGAACCCACTGGTATGTGACTTTGTAATCAAACGCAAGGTACCGGCGTCCGTCCATGGCAAAACGAAATCTATTCCGACTCAGCACGCGGATCGCATTTGCCGAGAGGTAGTACTTACCGGTATGGTAGTAGAGATGAAAGATGCTTTCAGTGAGTGTTTTAGCAATTTTGACTCTTACTACGGGGTTTGACAAATTTCTGTACTTATGCGCTCTGAAACAATCACGAGCCGTCTTAGAACATACCTCGTAGTGTCTATTGAACGGCCAATATTCTTAAGGGTATTAAGCTCAGGCTGTTGGAGGCCGCCCGAATCTCACATAGTTACGCCGTTATGACCACTCATGCATATGTTGTAAAGTGGCGACCAAGGCATTAATTTCTGAGCGAGACATAGGCCTAGAACTACCGGGGGGTGGTACTGAGAGCGTGACCATCTGTCCGCGGCGCGTCGTGAACGCGTGCTCCAGACTAGCGGATTGCCCCATTAGTCCTCCCACCACCAATTCGGAGGCCCATCCACTCCAATCATCTGTCTGAGCTTCTCAATCCTTTCAGCATCCGTCACCCTTCGGGGTAGCCCGTTGGTGGGGTCAGTGGAGGCAAGACAGAAGGCAATGACGTCTTTGCCTTTGACAGAGACTGGCGCGACATGTCGGGACAAGTCGGATTGTGCGGCGAGAATGGTCAGCAGCTCTACCATAACATCTGCCCTGGCGTCAGCAGAATCGTCTACGGGTTCCATGCCCATCTTTTTGGCGCGGTCGAGGATCCACTGATACGTGAGTTTGTAACCGAACGCACGGTGTCCAGCCATGACAGAGCAGAACCTGTCTGACATCAGTACGCAGGCCGCGAACCTCGAGAGGTCTTACTCACTGGCGTGATGGTAGAGACGAAAGATGTCTTCAGTGGGCGTTCTACGGAGGCTTATATACACGGGCGGCCCCGAACAAGAAAGCTGTCTTCAACATACCAAAAGGACTTACGCTTCGCGTTCGTCTGATATTGACAATAGCATGCCTGTCTCGTACTCCCACAGGAGCCTGTCTCTTGTTTCGTTTTACGAACAACAACGCGGTCCTTGTTCTCTGCAGCTTGTTCCGCGCTCGTCTGCCAGTATTGCTGGTATGTGTCTTACAACTTGAAGACAATGTTTTTATTTGTAGACAAGGACCGGTCGCACAATAAGTTTGTTGTGCGAGACAATTCTATCTTCAACCACACACCCGGTATCAACGTATCAACAGCTGCCGGAGCGATCATAATTCTCGAACAGGTAAGTGTTTTGTTCGAGTCTAAGACCTTGACCTTAGGGATCATATTGTCCGTCGTTCTTGTTCTATTGCCGGCGATACTATGTCTCTATATTAAGGCGAGTGCGTCGTTGAATCCATCCATCTACCCCGTACCCCCTCAGCCCTCGAATCACAAGGCGATGTCGGACTACATTGTTCAAACCCAGCAGCAGGCTTCAGCCAAGCTAGCGGTCTTACGCTATACTGGGCTGTCATACCTCGCCAATACGCGAAACATAGAAGCACCCTGGTACGCAGAAATGTTAGAGAGAATGAACACCGTTCTTTCAGGTGTTCCCAACACGGTCCTTGCTCCCCAGTTCCCCGTGAACGTGATGGTGGAATTAGACGAAGGCGGAGATGTGGAGATGGAGGTCGAGGAGAGTGGCTACGAGGGTGATGGTGGTGAGGATGGTGGCGATAACTCCCCCGCGGCTGAGCCTGCCGCAGACCTGGACGTTAGCGTCGAGACAATCACTATTCCGGTGGACGTCGAAAAGGTTCCCGACTTCTGCATCATCGCAAGCGACTGCAGGCCAGACAACGCCAACGACGGTCGACTCAAGACCTACTTCTTGGGCCACAAAATCAAGAAGAGTCGAGTTGTTGCCATAGTGGAGTGCAAGCGAGCTGATTCAGTTCGGCGGCCTAGACACGGGAACTTATTAAGTTACACCGGACTAGCCACTCAGAAGCGCCCATGAGTGGCTAAGACACTGAAAAGCCCAAAAAATGGCGCGGGCAGGAATCAAACCCACAGCCTGAAAGTAGCCACAGCACATTATACCACTAAGGCATAAGACCTTGCAAACATTGGGTTGGAATTGGCCTATAATACCACTTTTCCACCTTAGTCTTAGCTGCCCAAAGTCATATTAGCCGATTATTAGGTATTAAAGCAATGGAATGTAATTGTACAAAGGTGTATTCTGATGTTATGGCTAAGACATTGAGATATTAAATATCTGCTATTGATTCTGCTTATTGTACATATGTATATTCTAATGGCATGGTTAAAGCACCAGTATGGCTAAGACACCAGTGTGGCTCAGACACCTGAGTAGATGAATTATACTCAAGTAGAATCAATGGCAAATATTCAATGTCTCAATGTCTTAGCCATGCTGGTGTCTTAGCCACATCAGTGTCTTAGCTGCCCAAAGTCCTATATT